GTTTATTAAATCAGCCAATCGGAAATTTTGATGACGTCGATCATCATTAACCAATAAAATCGAACTTTCCCTATGCTCTCCTATCTTACAAAAATTAAATTGCCATAATAATTTTTATTTATCTTTTCTATTGGTTCTATTGCTTAATGTCACATGAATAAATAAATTCAATCTTACATTTATCATAATTACATAATGCACATTAAATATTATTATTAATGAAAAATATCTAGTAATCTATGGTGCTACCTTTTACTAATTATAAGTACCTCTTTATAATCATACCATCAATGAACATAATAATTTGTTTACAAAAAGGGTTTGATAATGTAAAATCATTTCTATAAGTCCGATTAAAAATATAAAAGTTTGTGTGATGTGCTTATAGAAGCGACTATAGAGAGGCCTGACTGAACTCTAAATAAAACGCTCGGAAGTTATTTATGTTTATTTATTTAAAAGAGATAAAGTATTTACAATAAGGCCATTTCTTCCTGCTTAAAAATGGATTGTCCAGGATCGAAAGAATATTGGCTCTCCGGTGTAAAAGTAACACCTATACCCTCAATTAAATCTTTACGTTTTTTAAGAAGTGATTTAACTTCTTCCAAAGTAGGTGCTGACCTTTTCTTTTTTGTTTTTGACAATTTTGATTTTTCCTTTTCAGGCTAAAATAAACAAGGTAATTAATAAATGGAATATATATATATGGATATTAAATAAATGAGATAATAATAAATATGTACATATCGTGCCAGGTAAGTTTCCTCGATTTGAGAGTCAATTTCATCTAAATAATTAATGTATTGTTGATAACCTGATCTTGCCTTAACTTTTTCCAATAAGACTCTTTTTCTGTAATTGTTTCGCTTCACTTGTTCACGTAATTTTGACTGGCATTCTCGTAACCTGATGCTAATTTCGTCATCTTCTCTATCATCCCATTCAACCTGCATAAAAGGTAAATAAGCTATTCAAAAATGAAATGAATTATAATAAATATTACACACTAACATCTTGGTCGTCCATGAGATCTAGAGCTCTCAACTCTCGCTTAAGTCGGTCATCCATATCAAGTATTTCTCGGTGGCCATTCATTTGTGTAGCTTCAGGTGTAGTAGGTTCATCATAATTATTACCGTTTACTGTTGGTACATCGTCATTTCCTATATCACATTCCAGAAATGCAGCAAGTACCCTTTCAGCCAAAGGGCCACAAGGTGGACCTGGAATATCTTGATCCTGGCCTTTCAAAGGACCTTTAACTACATCTGTCTGTCGTGCTTCAAGTTCCTCAGTTGTTTGTGGAACGAGATTTCGTTCTTCTTCGGCCCAAACTTCCAAGTAATGTCTACCAAGTTTAGGTATCGTTTCATCATCATCTAAAGGAAAAACACCCTACGAAAGAGAGTGAAATAAAAATAAAAATAAAACACTGATCATTTTTAAAGATAATAATGGATACCTTACCTTTGATTCTAGGAAATCGATGTCTTCTTCAGTATAATCACGAATATATGCATCAATATGCTCATAAAAAGTTTTTATCGCCACTTGATCTTTTGTTGACTTTACAACAGGAGCATCTTCTACAGCCACAGTTGTAGTTTCTGTGGTGCTTCGTTTTCTTTTTTTATATGAACCCCTTGCGGTGTTTGTAGGATTCTATTTGTTTTTTTTTTTTTTTTTTGTAAAATATTTTTATCAATATACAATTATAGATATAAATAGTCAATCACTACCAATTTAAAAACACACCAAATTTTGAGAATTTCTTTTTGGTGTTGAGTTTCGTGAATTTTTTGATATAATTTTTTCATAGCATGAAGATTCACTATCGTCATCGCTAATACGTTCACGTTCACGATCTTTCTTTTTTTTTCTCTTAACACTTCTAATACATTACGAGGAAAA